TGACTATAAAAGCACATGCAAAGCTGAGGCAGGAGGACAATGAGTTCAAAGCCAGTCTGGAGTACATAGTGAGACCCTGTCTCAAAAAAAAAGCTGGAAGATACCTGTTGAATTTATTTCTCTAGTGGTGGAGGAGGGGTGGATCAGGGAGAATGGTAGAGGGAGTGAATTCGAGTATGATGTATTTTTTTTCACCCCACCCAGACCCTGCTTCTTTCCTCAGACAGGATTCCCCAGAGAACTGGCTTCTAGCTTTACTTCAGAGGTTGTTCTCCCACTTGGAAAAGCACTAAAATCAGGACAGTGTCTGGCTAAAACAAGGGGAGGGGGCTTTTGTGGGACTGCATGGGATTAAAACTCGAGAACCTATTCAAAAAATGAAGCAGAGGCCGGAGGGGTGGGACTGAAGTGGTAAAGTACTTACCTACTAAATGCGAGGCCCTGAGTTCAAACCCTACTACCACACACAAAAAAGTTAAGCCCCATTTTGTATTTAGTTGGGTCTTCCCTGTTGGAGACCCTCTACCCCTCCACTTTCCCTTTGGATGCCTCCACTCTGAAACTACTGGTGATGTTGCAGCTGGATTTGTCCTCATGCAGGTCTAAGGGCAGGACTTGAGGTGGGGGTTCGTACTGCCCATGTGCAGTGCCTACAGTGGCCTGGTTTGATGTGTGCTTGAGGTGAAACTGGGAGAAATCGCGCTCTAATAACTCAAGTATGATATATTTGATATATTGTAAGAACCTTTGTAAATGCCACAATCTACTCCTAACCAGCACAACAATAAAGTAAAATAAAATAAAATACCAGCTGGGCTGGTGGCTCATACCTCTAATCCTAGCTACTTGGGAGGTGGAGATCAGGAGGATTGAAGTTTGAAGCCCTTCCGGGAAAGAGTTTGTGAGACCCAATTTCAACCAATAACTGGTCACGGTGGCATGAGACCTCCTGAGATCAGGAGGATTTCTGCTCCAAGCCAGCCTGGGCAAAAATGTTTGGGAGAACCCATCTCAAAGGGAAAAAAATGTGTGTGGTGGCATTTACCTGTTATCCCAGCAATGGAGAAAAACATAAAGTAGGAAGACTGTGGTCCAGTCCAGCCTGGACAAAAAAGCGAGCTCCCATCTCCAAAATAACCAGAGTAAAAAGGGCTGGAGATGTAGCTCAAGTGGTAAAGTGCCTGAGAGACCCTGAGTCCAGACCCCAGTGTCACGTAATACATATCAGACATTAGACCCTTGCGAATCATGGTTCGACAGTTCCGAGGAGACCACTGTTGAGGACACACTGAAAATGCTCAGGATGCATAGAGTTCAGTATTATAAAATTACTCAAATTTACCTATGCAGTATGTACAGTACAGTGTCCATGACTTAAACCACAGTGCTACGTTCCCATAGCAAAACTGCTGCTGTACACGTTCATGCCTCTCACCGTAACCTCTCTGTAGGAGAGACCTCACTTTATTCTCTTTATCCCAACGCTGCAAATGCCTGACTCACTTCCACTAAAGACAAGCGACCTTTCAACAAATCTACAATTTTCACTTGCTCACTGAAATTAAGCACATTCACTTTTACCTTGCTTTGGGGGCACCATTTGCTTTTTGGGAGGCAGATTTTCACAAATTGAAGGGCAGGGAAACACTCAGCAGATCACACAATAATTTAAACACAACTGATGAGAACACGGGACTGAGAGCCTCTGCTCACCCACTGAGGTGAGGAATGTGTGTATGGGAATTTAAAGATTTTGCTTTTGAAATTTCTTTTGATTTTTGAAATTATTCTTTGACTGCACTTGGTCAAAACCGCACTAATCAATAAGGTGGGCTCACTGTATATAGCTATGTGTGTGTATGTCAAAGGGCTGGGAGTTTAGCTCAATGGTGGAGTGCACGGGTAGCATGTGTGAGGCCCTCAGTTCAGTCCCCAGCACACACATGCAAAGCACGCAGAAAAGGAAAACAAAACCAAACAAAAGAAATAGAAATTACTGGAGGGGAACTCGAAAACTCCCTCATCTAAACAGGAAGCATCAGGAGTTGTCCTGATGTGAGTCACGTAGTCTTTTCTGAGCAGGTCTGTGTCATCTGGGCCTGCACCTGCCTCCTACCCTGCCATGAGGGTGAAGCCAGGCTGCACAGGAAAGGGCCCCTTAGGGCGCTCACAAGGCAGGCACTACAATGTCCCTTGTACTTTATAGCACGCTACTTGTATGATTCATCTGAGTCACTCTCCCTGAGCCGCAGTCTCCTCATCTGTGAAATGGAAATGATTGTGGTTTATAACCACGTAAGAGCAGTACTCCCCTCCCTGGGGGATGAAGTGGTCTGAATTAAGGGTTTCCAGAGTCATTCGTTATTTAGACTTTATCTGACTCTATTTCACATTAGAAACATTTTATTCATCCTGGTCACATTCTGTGTTGCCCGAGATAATACCAAAATAAACTTTCCACTTTATCCCCAGAGATGGAACCACCAGCGGGAGGTTAAACTTCATTTTCTGGGCCAGATGCAGTGTGGGGAATCAGACTGAGGGTGAAACTATGTGTCTCCCTTTCTTCCTGCAAGGTCTCTCTGGATTTGGGGATTTTTTTTGGTGATAGTAGGGTTTGAACTCAGGGCCTTACGATTGCTAGGCAGGTGTTCTACCACTTAAGCCACTCCACTAGCCCTTTTTTGTGTTGGGTATTTTCAAGATAGGGTCTCGAAATTGTTTGTGTGGGCTGGCCTCAAACTGTGATCCTCCTGATCCCTGCCTCCCAAGTAGCTAGGATTACAGGCATGAGCCACTGGCACCCAGCAGTTTGGGGAACTTTAAAAAATCCTGGTGACTGAGTCTCATTGCTGGGGTTTTGAGTCCAGAGGTATAGGGTGGGGCCTAAAAGGTTCCAGATGAAGCTGGGCTCATGCCTGTAATCCCAGCAACTCAGAAGGAGGAGATCCAGGAGGATCTCAGTTTGAGGACAGCCTGGGCAAAAGTTAGCAAAAATCCTATCTCAATCAATAATTCACGGGTGGTGGCGTGCCTGTGATCCCAGCTATGCAGGAGGCGTAGGTAGGAGGATTGTGGTCTTAGGTGGCCTGAGCAAAAATCTAAGACCTTACCTGAAAAATAACAAACAGAAAAGAGCTGGGGATATGGCTCATATCCCCAGTGGTAGAGCTCCTGCCTGTCATGTGGGAGTTCCTGAGTTCAAACCCCAGTATCACATATTCACACAAAAAATATGATATATCTGGGTGTGGGAAGCTCCTGGGCTGAGTGACCATCTGTGGTTGGCTGTATTTTCTGTTTGGCACTGCCTTCATCTCCTGGTTTTAACTTTCATTCTAGTACTCCCCTACCTGCTATGTTCTGTTCATCTTTAGTTCACCCCTGCCAGGTGTTCTCTGTTCTCTGCTAGGCTGGTAGGGAGGAGCACCAAAGAATAAGAAACTGGGACCCTCCCGTGAATCTAGGGTTCAGTTCTGGCCTAACTTCCTGTGTGAGTTTAGACAAGTTGCTTTCCTTCTCTGGGCCTGTGTCCTCAACACAATGAGAAGGGTGGATGAGTTCTTCGGAGCTTCCGGTGCTGCTGATGTGTGTTTTTCTCCCCTCCTGGGGACAGCCCCCTCCCACTGGAAGTGTTCTCCTGGGCAGAAGCAGGACCGCCCTCTTCTCCACCCCATAGTAGTCCTTCCTTATTTTACTCTTGGTTCAGGGAGGTCATCTTGGTGCAAACCATCTCACTGGTATTTTTAACTTCTTGATGGAAAAATGATGGGCCGACAGAAAACATTTTGAAACCCAAAGCATTCCACCCATTGCCCGTCATGGTTCAGTGCCTGGTCCCTTGGGCTCACATTTGCTGCCGGACCTGGCCTCGTGTCAGGGTTCTGGCTTTGATCCTTGGCTTCTCTTGCTTCAGCGATTTCTGCAGAAACACTGTTCCCATGGAGGGGAGTGGCTAGAGGGAAGGCCTGGTCCACTTCCCTTCTGCAGGGTGTGCTCAGTCCATCCAGGCAGATGAGGATTATTTTATAGCAAAAATGTGAGTGGAAGGAAACTAAAACGTTAATAGTACTTATATCTGGTGATGCATGTCCTCCCAACTTCTTCTTCCTAGGAATACATATTACAATATATGTGTAATATATAATAAATGATAATGTAGGGCCAGGTGTGCTGGGCTATTCCTATAATCCCAGCTACTCAGGAGACAGAGGTAGGAGAATCTTGATCCAGGGCAGCCCTGGGCATAAAATGAGACTCTATCTAAAAGCAACTTAAGGAAAAAGGACTGGGGGTGTGGCTCAAGCGGTAGAGCACTGCCTAGCAAGTATAAGGCCCTGAGTTCAAATGTCAGTACCAATCAATAAATCAGTCAATAAAGAGTTTCTTTAGGACCTTTGGATCAAAATACATGGACTTTTTGCCTTGCATTGTTCATTATGTCATATCGTCAACATTTTTCTAAAATACATAGCTTGGAATTTTATTTTTAAGTGACAAATAATAAGTGGGCATATTTATAAGTGCAGTGTGATATGATTTTTATTTTTTGGCTTGTTTTGGGTGGTACTGGGGATTGAACCCAGCAGTCTTGCCAAGCATGATACTACTTGAGCCACTTCACCAGTCTTTTTTTTTTTTTCTGGCTGTAGGCACTCGACCACTTGAGCCACTCCTCTAGTCCTGTATTTGTTGTTGATAGGGTCTTCTTAACTTTGCCTGGACAAAGTTGTGATCCTTCTGCCTCCACTTCCCAAGTAGTGCCCTGTGCCCCGCCCCATGTTATATTTTGATACACAAACACATTGTATCAAATATTTTTAAGGCTACTACATGATATGATATCATAATTTGCATAGCTAGTCCCTTAGGATTGGTTGTTCCCAGTGGTAGGATTTTAAAAATAATGTTGTAATGATCTCTCATCTACTTCTGGAGCCCGCTGGACAGGACTCCAGGGTCCACGGTTCTGTCTTGATGAGCCTTCCTTCTATCCGCAGAATCCAGGAGTACTCCAGCTTTGATCCCGGTGTCCCCCTTCACACAGGTGAGCTCACGTTCTTGTAAAAGAGTCAGGGCAGCACAGCTGGTAGTTAGGACTGTGGTGGCACCAGACAGAATTTGGTCTCCATCCCAGGTCTTCCTAGAGATGTGGCTGTGGGGAGTTACCCGTCCTTCGCAAGGTTCTGTGAAGGTGGAGAGCAGTTCCGTGTCCTGGGGTTGTAAAGTGAGGGCAGGGCTGCCTGTAGCACACACTGCTCTGTGTCAAGGCATGACTGTTTCATCCCTGAGCTGTGTGAACACCACTAATGGCTTAGCTTGAGACAGGCTTCAGTTTATCTGAGTCCCTCCCCTGCTGGAAAGAGGATTATGTCTGAAGCTGCTTAACAAATTCCTTGATTAATCCAATTTTCCATCCAGCTCTACCTCCTTCCATGATCCTTAATTCCCTCAGTGCTAAGCTGGGAGCCCAGGAGCACAGAAAAGGGCTCTCCTGAGCCTGGTGCTCATTCCCTACAGGACTGTCTAGTCACCGTCTGGGCAGCTGCAGGTGAAACCCCAACATGGGTCCTAGGGGACACAATACACATGAGGACTGGCCCACCAGCTAAACTCTGAGCTGTCGGTGCATTGGTTCTCTCCTTCCATTTCCTGGCACAGAAATTTGTCCAAGGAATGGAGCCAGGTTTCTAGTAGGTGGTGGCACCTGTATGGTAGCATCAGAGCTGGAAGGACAGCAGCTGCTTCAGTGTATCTACTGAGTCTCTCCCCTGTGCCTGGGGCGTGCCTTTGCCTTTGGTGGAGAGGCAGATTTAAGAAACCTGCACCTTGAGCAGGCCAAGCAGGAATAAAAGAACCAAATAACAGCAACAAAATTGAGGGTGACAGAAGTCAGATTCTGGGAGGTTCATGAGAGAGGAAGGCCTTAGGTGGAGCAGGGAGGCTTTGAGAAGGAGGTGACACCCGAGCAGGGTCTCAATGAGGATAGTGTCTCTTTTAGGTGCCTACCAATGAAGAGGAGGATGGTTTCCGAAGGTATTCGCCAAAAGCAACCACCCTCCCAGGTAAGGATGCATGTTTTTGTATCCCTCTGCTCTGCAGACAGTCTGCTCTTATGTGGACAGTTAACAGCAGGTCAATGGCAGAAATACTCTTTTATGTTTAAGAGTTTGATGATTGCTACAGTATAGTGAGGGGACCATGAGAAGAGTGGGATGAATGGGTGAAGTAGTTTGCAATTGACCCACAACATAAACAAGTGTGCTGCAAACCTAATTTCCAGAGTCTGAGATGGAAAATATGATGAGGGGATCTGGGTTGGGAGACCTTGACTTCCTCCTCCTCATTCTCTGTAACCTGCAAGACCAGGAAACCTTACCTTACCATCGAATCAAGAAAGGTCACAGGTCCTGTGTTTGTTTTACTAGGTTCAGGAGCCTCATGGGGGCTTTCTGAGGACATCCTTACCTGGGCAGACTCCTGCCTGCACCTGAGGCTGCCTGGTGGGGCTGCCTTCCAGTGGCAAAGCCCTGCTGTGACACAGCACACCTGTGGAGTACCTGCTAAATCCCTGGGGCTGAACTCTGCACAGCTGGGGCTCAGAGGGAATCAAGCCTGTCCCTGCTGTCAGGAGGCCTGCCAGTCCAGGGGGCTGGCTCAGACCAGTCACTGTAGCAGACTTGAGATGGACAAAGGGGAGGCAAAGATAAGACCTGGCATTGAGAGAGCTAGAAGATCATGGCCAGCTGGGTAATCACAGCAAGCTCTTGAAGGAGGTGCCATCTGAAATGGGCCTTGAACCATCTGAGTGGGATGACAGGAGGCTGAACCTTCAGGGTGGCTGTGGAGGGGATGCTCGAGGCTTCTCCACGCACACTTGCTGAGGAGCCCGACCTGCCCCAGCTCCACAAAGACCACCAGTTCATTCCCCAATGTGTGTCCCCATCCTGACCTTCCACCAAGACCCAGGCTCAACTGGGTCTATGCAACTGCCTAGTTGTCATACCTACTTGGAACCTACTAGAAATTTAACATGTCTAAAAGAGAAAATTTGATTGCTACTTCCCCACCCCCAAGTCTGTCTTGCCATCTTCCTATCTCAGTGACGGACACCATGTTTGCTGGGTTGCTCATGTCTCAGAGACCAGGAGTCACAGTTGTGTGGAGCCAGGGTTCAGGCTCCTCCATTCCTAATGGCTGATGTGATGATTGACTGTTGATGTCACCAGCAGTCACCACTTTAGACACCCACTGGGCGCAGGCATTCTCATGCATCCAGACTGGTGAGTGATCATTGACTGCAAGGACAGGTCTCTTCAAGTATGTCCCAGGTCTTGACAGAAACAGCAGGATGCTTGCTTGCTCAATTATTAATATTTTGTCATCTTTTATAATTATTCCTCCCTTCATTCAATAAATATTTAGTGAAAGCCTGTCATGTGCCAGGCTTTGTTATAAACCTCAGCTATACAGAAAAGGCATGAAGGTTCCTTGTCCCCTGGATCTTATATTCTAATCAAGGGAGATGAACAAATAAGTAACGTAATGTTAACAGTGACAAAGCTATGGTGCAGAGTGCAGGGAAGGGTAGGTGATGCAGTAGCAGCAGGAACAGTAGGTGATGCAATGGTCGTGAAAGGGCTGCTGAGAAGGGAGCATTAGAGCAAAGACCTGGGAGGTAGGAAGAAGCTGGCCAAATGGAGGAGGTCAGAGGAAGATCATCCTGGCAAAGCAAGCAGCAAGTGCAAAGGCCCTGAGGTTGAGCACATGTGGAAGAACAAGGAGGGAATTGTGGGTTTAGTAATAGAGTGAGGAGAATGGAGGAGGGAGGGTCTGAAGACAGGAACGGCAACTAGACGACTGTTAAGACTCCCATAACGAATAGGGTCTTTGTTAGGACTTTGAGTTTAACCCCAGGGCAGATGGTGCTGAGCCACAGACAGCTTGGCTTTGTGTTTCAAGGTCATTCTGGGTACTGGTTGGAAAAGCACCTGTTGAGGATTAGGACCAGAAGCCAGTAGACCAGTTGGCAGCCTCTGAAGCCCTACAAGGTGAGAGAGGGCAGCAGCTGATGCAAGGGTTGGCACTGGAGGTAGTAAAAAGTGGTCCCCTTCTGGACACGTGTCAGGGCCTAGCCCAGGATGTGCTGCTGCGTGGCCACAGGGTACAGAGAGAAGTGTTCCTGAGAGTGATGGTTTCTTATATGTCCCCTCTGGGGTCTCTGGCAGTTGTAAGACGGGCCTTGCACTGGGAAGACATGACTTCTTTGGAAGCTAAGCTGTTCTTTCATTCACTCAATGAAATGGTTTTGGAGAGCTGGCTTGGTGCCAGGCCCTCTGGGAACCGCTGGAATCGAACAGTGAGAAAGACACATATGGTCTCTGCTTTCCGGAAGCTCAGACTAGAGGTAGAACTGGAGGAATGGCCAGGATGGGCGCTCACCCAGCTTGGAGTGACCTCATCTGAGACCCAAAGGCCGAGTTGGGGACTGGACAGCAAAGGGGTACAGCAAAGGTGGGAAGAACTTTCCGGAGAGAAGGGGGACACATGTGGAGAGCTCTGGAGGAAAGAGAAGGTGGAACACTGAAAGTGAGGTTCGGATGGCTGTGACTTTCATGCCAAGCAAGGGAACAACGTGGGGTTGCTCTCGCTTTGATTTTCCTCCCAGTGGAGAAAATGACTTCACATATTTGGCTGAAAGCCTCCCCAACTCGTCCTTAGAGGAGCCACGATGGGGGCGTCCCCTGAGGCTTCTGCTTTCTGCACCCCCTGGGCCTCGTGGGAGCAGGCTGAGTGCCACCAGAAGAGCCACCTGACAATGAGTGGGTGTCTGTGGCTGGCCACAGGAACTCAGAAACGGAGCTTGAGGTGTATACCTTGCCAAGTGGCAGACCCCAGGGGTGTGGCAGACCCCAGGGATATGTCAGATCATGCTGGGTCTTACCCAGAAAACTGGCAGCAGTTGGCAGCTTTGATCCTTAGCAGAGGCGTCTCCTCTTCCAGGGGGGCGCCTGTGAGAGTTTCCTTAGCACCAGCTGACAACCTTTTTGTTCTTCTGTTGACTTTTTTTTTTTTTGGTAGCACTGAGGTTTGAACTCAGGGCCTCATGCTTGCTCAGCAGGTGCTCTGCTGCTTGAGCTACTCTTCCAGCCCCTTTTTGTGTCAAGATAGGGTCTCGTGAACTATTTGCCCGGGCTGGCTTCAAACCTTGATCCTCCTCATCTCCGCCTCCTGAGTAGCTAGGACCACAGGTATGAGCCACTGGCTCCTGATTCTGACTTTGTTCTTTTTCTTTTTTTTTCTAGTGCAAGATTCTTCTTCCACATCACTGACCACATTCTTGGCAGCTGGAGGAAGCCTGGCTTTTGGCACATTCCTGTGCATTGGCGTCGTCCTCAGGTGAGATGGGTCCACGTTGTGCTGTTTTCTTAGCCAGCTTGCCTTTGCCCGTTTGGTCATTAAAAACTTACACAACATGAACGCATTCATCTCTTCATTTACAAATGGACACACATGCAACACAGCACCGGTGACCGAACTCAGCCCTGTGTCACGTGCTGCAGGTGACACTGGTGAGCATGACAGGTCCATCTAGTGAGGAAGCCAGACATAGAGAAGTGATTACCTGTGTGCAGAGCAGCCGTGGCAAGGAGAATGGACTCACCATAGAGGAGGAAAAGAGGGTTAGAAGAGTGACAGGTGACTCGTAAGCTCTTGGGGACCTCACAGTGGCCCTGAGTTGGTTTGATTACAGTGGCAAGATGACAACTCAAATTGTGCTCAGCTTGGGGTTGTTCTCACTTTGATTTTTCTGTTCTTATTTTATTTTAAAAATTAAATTAAATTTTAAGTTTTGTATTGTTTGGAATGCTAGGGGATCACTCTCAGGGCCTCCTGTGTACATTGAACTCTCATTTTGATTTGTTCAATGAAGTCATGAACAAGCCCTCCACAGGGTGGGCAGTGAGTGGAGGTGGCTCCTTGGAGGAAGCGACGCCTTTTATACCTTTGGGACAGAAGGGGTCACAGTGGCCTTCAGGGCCCCCTCTGCCTGCATAGGGAACCTGGGCCTCACCACAGTGCACATGCAAGTGTTCCCCTTCGAGTTCTGCACTGTTTCTTCAACAGGCCTTTCTCATAATCCACCCAGATCTACAGGAGAGATATGATTTCCGTTTGATAGACAAGAAACTAAAGCTGCAAGGGGTGGAGCGATTACAGCGATAAGGTTAAAGGGACGATTGAAACCCAAAGCTCTTCAGATGGTCCTTAAGGACGGTGTAGCCCGTTCTTTAGCTGACACATGAGGAGAGGAGACAGCCCCAGAAGGTAAAATGACTAGGCTGAGCACAAGGGAGAGTTGTGTGTGTGTGTGTGTATATGGTGTATGATGTGATGTGGTGTGTGTGTAGTGTGTGTGGTATGTGTGTGGTGTATGTCTCTCTGTGTGTACAGTGTGTGTGTATAGTGTATGGTGTGTGTGTGTATAGTGTGTGTGCACTGTGTGTACAGTGTGTGTGTAGTATATGGTGTGCGTGTTTGCATAGTGTGTGTACAGTGTGTGTGTACAATGTGTGTGTATAGTGTATGGTGTGTGTGTAACAGTGTGTGTGTGTACAGTGTATGGTGTGCATGTGTGCATAGTGTGTGTGTACAGTGTGTGTATAGTGTATGGTGTGTGTGTATATAGTGTGTGTGTGTGTGTACAGTGTATGGTGTGCGTGTGTACAATGTGTGTACAGTGTATGGTGTGTGTGTATAGTGTGTGTGCACAGTGTGTGTGTACAGTGTGTGTGTATAGTGTATGGTGTGTGTGATGTGGGAACAGCCTGAGAACCCTTCCCTTGCCTGCAGCGCTAGCCTGCTGTTGGCTGACTGGTGGGTCCAGCAGTTCTACCGCAGGCACCTAACAAACAGTGCTCTGCTAACTGCTGGTACAGAAGCCTTAGAGCCGAGTCTGCTCACCTGGTTGATGCTTGCACACTGGCTGGCTGTTAAACAGCCAGAGTCCCTGCAGCAGACAGGGCAAGTGCCCTTACCAAAAACATATCAGCCATTTATTTCTTATCCTGGCAAGTCTCCATTTTCTCCTATATTTGGCAAATTTATTTGGTAAAAGAACAATTATTTCAAATGATGACAAACTCTTCAATTCCCCAAATCTCTCCTGGCAAGAAAAAGAGATAGAGGGCCCAGTATGGTAGTGAACATCTGTAATCCCAGCTACTTGGGAGATGGAGGTTGGGAAGATCATAGTTTGAGGCCAGCCTGGGCAAAAAGTTAGCAAGACCCCATCTCAGACTGAGCATGGTGGTTCACATCTGTAATCCCAGGTACTAGGAGGTACAGGTAGGAAGATTGAGGTCTGAGGCTGACCCAGGAAAAGAAAAGGGTTAGACCATATTGAAAAAAAATCACTAAAAACAAAAAAAAGGCTAGGGCATGGCTCAAGTGGTAGAGCAACTGCTTAGCAAAAGTGAAACCCTGAGTTCAAACCCCACTACCACCACCAAAAAAAAAAAAAAAAAGGCCATCAACTTAGATACTGTGGGACTGGAGTACCAAAGTGGCTGAGCCACAGTGACCATCGGGATGGCTGCATTCCCATTAGGCAGAGTATGAGGGGCAGGTTGACACTCTCCTGCCTGTCCAGGTCACCACGTTTTTACTTTTAGTACATTTGAGTCCAAAAATATTCCTAAATGTTTTCCCAGCAGTATCAGTGACAATATGCTGCTGAAAAAGGCTTTTCATTTCCTTAAGTGGCTGTCATAACTTGCAGGGGCCAGTTCTTCCCACCCTACCCCAGGCCCCAACCATTCTCTATTTTGTGATATTCAGCAGTGCAAAATAAGACTCTCGTGGCACTTTTCTTCACATTTATCTAGAATGGATGTATGCCCTTAGGTGACAATGTCTTATATGTATGCCTCTGACTTAAAACTCCTTTTGTAAGTGAGGCCAGTACTTCTCACCTGTAATGCTGGCTATTCAAGATCTAAGGCAGGAAGATTGCCTGAGCCCAGGAGTTCAAGATCAGCTTGGGTAACACAGTGAGACCCTATCTCAAAAACTAAAAGTCATCTGGGTATGGTGGCTCATGACTGTAATCCCAGCATATTATAGGTTTGCACCTATAATCCCAGTGGCTAGAAGGAAGGATTTGGAGTTCAAGGCCAGCCTGGGCTATATATAGTGAGGCCCTGTCTCAGAAACCAAACCAAACCAAAGCAAAAAGGGGACTGGGTGTGGCTCAAGTGGTAGAGCACTTGCCTAGTGAGCACAAGGCCCTGAGTTCAAACCACAGTATCATCAAAAAATAAATCATTTTGTATTAGATGTAGTGTTTCATTTCAATATTTAAAAATTACAGACTCTCTCTCCATGAAGGGGCAGAGGAATTCTGGTGTCCTGGACCACAGAAGTGACTAGTGCATGGCACTTTCTGTGACCTTGGTGGGGTGTCTTGGTTTCTACATTGCAGTTTTAAAAAAGAGTGAGAGGGCTTGGGGGCTTGGCTCAAGTGGTAGAGTGCTTGCCTTGCAAATGCAGAGCCCTGAGTTCAAACTCAGTATTGCTGGGAGGGAGGGAGGGAGAGAGAGAGAGAGAGAGTCATTATAAGGTGTCTTTTGTTTTGTTTTTAACTTCTTTTGCCATGGAACTTATTCTCTAAGCAAAACCTTTTGAACCGGTGTGGTAGTAGAGGTGCAGGCCTATAATCTCAGACTTGGGAGGGTAAAACAGGAGGATTGTGAGTTTGAGGCTTGCTTGAGCTACAGTGAGATTGTGTCTCAACAAATAAACAAAAAAACTACATTATAAAGCCTAAGCATGTAGAACAAATAAAAGGCAGAGGTCAAGGTGGATGTGAAGCCCAGTAGCTCAATTGCTTCCTCCTTCTACCTGCTGCACATCCTTTGAGGTCCTCTGCTCACAACCTCCCATGCCAGGTGTGAACACCCTTGGCCCCTGGCTGGCTGGTTTCAAAGGGCCCTTTGAATTTAGTGATTTTCAGAAAGGGTTTCATTCTCTACTCAAAATATTTCAATAGGAGAGCTCCCTTTCTCAGTTACCCATCCAGTTGCTTTGAAAAAAACTGAGATTGCTTCCTTCTTTCTTTCTTTCTTTCTTTTATTATTCATATGTGCATATAAGGCTTGGGTCATTTCGATTGCTTCCTTCTTAATTTACAAAGGTCAAGCCTGTGTGTGTGTGTGTGTGTGTGTGTGTGTATGAGAGAGAGAGAGAGAGAGAGAGAGAGAGAGAGAGAGAGGAGAGAGATTATTATAGGCAATCTGCTAAATACTAACAAATAGAAAAGAAGTGAAATCATGCTATCCAAAGAAAGATGTCCACTGTTTTTTTGTTTGTTTGTTTGTTTTGGTGGTACTAGGATTTGAATTCAGAGCCTTACACTTGCTAGGCAGGCATTGTAGCCTGAACCACTTAAGCCACCCTTGAGCCACTCTGCCAGCCCCGAAGATGGCCACTGTTAATTTTTAAGATGTGTGATCGAGGTCTAATAAGCATATAGAAAAGTACAGCTTCGTGGATTTCCACAAAATCAGCCCACCTGCATCAAGGACGCTTACTGCTTAGATGAATTTCCTGAATCTTTTTCCTCTTCATAGTTTCCTGTTTGTATTTACTTAGCCATGCTTATTCTGAATCTACAACTTTGAATTCTACCTCTTAAACTCAGCAAAGCATTTTTTTCACATGGTTACACATTCTTTGTAGAGGTCACTTTCATTAGCAGCAAACTCCTCTAATAGGGACACAAACCCAAGTTCACTTAACCAACCTCCTAATAATGAACATTTGGATATTTTGCTTTTATAAACAACACTGTGTTGAACATCTTTGTGCACAAAGCTTTTTCGGGGTATATTCCCAGAACAGGAATATTCCTGGGTCATAGGTGCTGAATGCTTTTTAATCTAGAGTGAAATGTGTCCCAGTCCTGTCACAGAGGAGGAAAATTCCTCTCAAGGATTCTGTGTAACTCCAGCAAGCACCCCTGCCAGGCTCTCTTCCTGTGTTGGGTCCAAATGGCAAAGCCCTAAGTAACATTCTGCAGGTTGATTATTCTATTTGGATAACAGGCTAAGAGCCAGTGGCAGATTTGGAGCCAACTATCAATTATTTATCATAACAAGCACAGGAATAGCCTGCTGATCTAAAAAGAAGCCCAAGCAAAATGCCCAGCTCTTGTTTTTGACCTTGGTTTCCCTTTCTCCCTCCCAGCCCGTCCTGGAGGAATTGATATTTGAGGGCATTGAGAGTTGCTCTCACTTTTGGGTTCAGTAGGCAGCAAGTCAGTCACAAAGTGGGATGGGGAAGGGAGGAGATGAGGCCCCGGATGTCTGAGCACATGGGGCTGAAGAGCCCCTCTGGCAAGGAGGCCCAACTATATACTTTTGAAGATCCCTATCACCAGCTCATCTTTCTTTGAGTTGTCAAGTGACTCTTGGTTACTAAGTCCTGGCTTTGGGCCCAGAGTGGAGCACTGTGAATGGCGCCATGATCAGAGAGATGTCTATCTCCTTCCTGTTTAACACTGACTTTCCTGCCAGATGAGTCAACGGGTGCCCCATGGTACCCATATTTGAGTGCGAAAGCTTAGGCCCTCTGGGTGGGAGTAGGCCAGCGGGGGCAGATTGAGAACTGGGGAGACAAGAATACTGGATTCAGAGGACAGGAGCGCTGGTGTGGGGGTGCTGGTAACCCTTTCTCTGTGATTTAATGGTGGTTGTGGTTGACTTGCCTCCTGCCAGCCTGAATTTGACTGAGAAGCCCATTGTCCTTCCCCACTAAAAGAATATTCTCCCTCACTTTCTCTTTTTTAAGTAAATAGATTTGGAACATATGATGTGTACCTAATGGGCAGTGTCTGGAACAAGGCAAATTAAGGGACTGTCAAGTGACTCTTTGGTGCTATGAAGGGGCACTCACATTTGTCCCAGTCTCCCTCTTACAAATTGGGCCAACTATATGTACCTCTTCCCTTGGGGTGTTTTTGAAACTCAACAGTCCTTCAGAACATCGTGAAAACCTGGGTGATGAAGAGCAGATGATGTGGTGAACAGTTCCCAGTCCTTTGAGTTGAGCTGTAAGTGCCAGGCCACCAGGGCAGCCAGCTGTTGGTGTTTTTCACTGTGGGTTCATCTCAGGGGGAATTTAACATCTATCTGGTTTGTCTTTTTGTGTGTTGTGTGAAGGCTGAAGAAAACATGGAAGTCACAGGCTCTGAAGGAATGCAAGACCAGCATACACTCTCCATATTCCTTGGGGCAGCCTAAGCCCACTATCGTCTTCGTTCCTCTCCTTGCCCCACCAGTATCTCCCAGCAGCACTGGGTCTGACAACACCTCGAGCTACAGCCAACCAGATGCCAGGGACTCACGGAGCCCTTATGACATCAGCAACAGAAGCTACTTCTTCCCCAGATAGCTGTCTGGGTGGCACTTGGCACTGCCATTCCAGCTTATCTCAGGGGTGGAGGTCTGCAGCATCACTGCTGTAGAAGAATATTGCAGAAGATTCTATACGGAGTCAAAATTCATTTGCTGCATCTGTTCTGAAGGAAGAGGTGGCTGAGTTCTCAAGCCTCCTTTCCCAAATACTCTGGTTCAGGGGGTCATGAGGAACTCAGGCCACCCTGAAGAGAGCTGTGTCAGGACTCAATTGGTCACTGTGTGGAGGAGCTGCTGGTCACCCCCATACCCCAATATATCTCTACAAACTGCACCCTCAGTGAGGGGATGGGAGTCCAGCCAAAGGCCACCCTGGTCACCTATCTCCTGGCCCACCACAGAGCTGCACGTTCTACCTTGAACTCTTAACACCGTAGTGCTTTGCCATTCTGTTTTAGTAGGCTGGAGATGGCTTTTTGTAAGTTACCAAGGCTGGGGAGGAAGCTCTTTCCTGCCTTTCTTCACAGTTGAAAAACAGCTGGGGGGGTTGGGGTGCTGGTTGTGGTTGGTAGTGAGTAATATCTCAGGGCCTGATAGTTTTAAATGGAATTATAATTAGTTCTTCATTAGCATTTTGCTAAATGTGAATTATAACCCTAGGCATTTGTAGAAGCAATTGCACTGGCCTGATTCTCCTCTTTGGATCTCAGGACTTCAGGAAGAGGAAGAAGGGGAGTGGGAACAGTCTCTGTGGTCCCCCATCATAGCTGAGGAGGACCCTAGCCTCTGAAAACCGGTGTCCTTTGTTCTCCCAGCTTCCCCCAATGGAGGGCTAGTGGGAGGGAGGGCTTCTGCCAGAGCCCAGAGCAAAACTGTTTTACACCAACTTTGTTGATTCTGGTTTCAACTGGACCTGAGCAAGTAGGGCAGATGATATTCATGTGAAAGAAAAATGAATCTGGCAAGAATGTACTTTTTTTTTTTAAACTGCTGACTATTTTCTCTTGAGACACTGCAAGATCCAGTATTTGATTCGATGGGTGTCAGTGTATAAATCACTTAGGGGAAAAGCACAAATAACTTCATTTAGCATAAGACCAGTCAAGTGAAAAAGGAGGAGGAGAAAAAAGTAGTTTCTGGTTTCATTCTGTATTTTGTTTTTGTCTAAAAAGGTACGAAAGTGAGGGCTAAGTGCATGGCTCAAGTGGTAGAGCACCTGCCTAGCAAGTGCCAGGCCCTGTTCAAACCCCAGTACCACCAAAAAAACAAACAAAAAAAACTACTTTAGGGAAAAAGCAGTTTGTGATGCTGCCCCAGGTGGTTGGGAAGAAGGAAAGACTGTCTTGCTTCCTGTTCTCAGGCCTCCCACCAGTACCAGGCAGGGTCCTGGAAATTCTCCACCCCTAAGGTCAGGAGCCCTGTTATCAGAGGGAAAGTTCATTAGAATTCCTCCCTTGGTGCCTTCTTTTCTCCCAGCCCCTTGAGTTGGATTCAGTTCAGTTACAGGGTGGAAGGGCCCACAAGCGGCTGGCCACCACACTGACCAACCACCTCAGCTGACTCCTGTCGGTGTTCTGAGAATTCAGACAGGTACCCACAAAGTAGAGCTCTGATTAAAATGAACGGTGCAACCACCTCAGACCCTGAATTTACCAGACCACAAAACCTTTCTAGTAGTTTACCCTTTTAGAACCACACCTCCCCGCCTCCCAACACCAGACAGGTGGTAAAGGATGAAAACCACTGTGGTTTATTTGCTGTTTGCCAGGTTCAAGGCATTGCTATCTTAAGCAAGCAGTGATTTTCATTCTGACTCTGTCTGTACGTTGTAGGCCCTGTTGCCAACTTAGGCAACACATGGTAAGTTGACAAAAGTCAAGCAGGTGTTCATGGTTTCTTTTCATTTTTTTCCCCTCTGTAAAGTTTCTTGAGAACAGCAAAAATGCTGTGAAAGGGAAATATTAGGAATGTGAATCATGAGAATTTGTGTGAGAAAAGGTGATTCTGGGCCCACGGTTCTTTAATTCTTTGCCTTTACCCACATGCTATATTACCAAAAGCCAGACAGAGCCGTGCTGGCGGAAGATGTGAAATCCAGATAGCTCACTATCTGTGAGAGCTAGGCAGCTTTGATCTCCAAACTGTTATTGCTTTCATTATTATTGTAACGGAACTGCCTTGGTTTTTTTTTTTTTTTTTTTTTTGTATTGAAGAGGGATTTTTTTTTCCCTCTTTGTTTTTTATAAGCTAGTATCAATGAAGTAAAAGTCTGTCTTCTTGGGCTCAGGCCTTGCTCGGTGCACACAGGTATATGCCCTAAGCTTTCTCTGTCCTTGAATCTGTGGTGGCTGAATTTGTGTCTCAATCCTTGGGTCATTCTTACCTGAGTTTCTGCAGGCCACGAGCTGCCTTGTATCCTCAACAGTGCTGTTACTCACCTAATACCTACAGCCAGTGGCCACACAGCCAGTGTGTAATGTTGGGACAGAGACAGCTTAAAGGTGACAACCCATCCTGAGGGATGGGTAAAGTAAAAAAATATGCTAGATCAAGATGTAAAGTGGTCATTAATTCTTGTAGCATTAATGAAATATTTAGGAAAGATTTCAAGGAAGTAGCATTGAATTTGCATATGAGGCCTTTGGTGACTCAGACACTTTGCTGTGATGGGGCGTGCCCTTGCACTTGGTTGGCTGGACTCTGAACTCCGCCATTTCCCCCACTTAGGAAAGAGAAAACTGGTGACCCCAGCGAGGTGTGGAATCTGCTGCTGGAACTGGATGGGGAGCCACGCCGTGGTGAATACAGTCCAGTAGGGCAGGCTGGGACTGGTCGTGACTCGGGGGTGCCTGAGGACTGCACAGGAATATCTCGCCTGGCTGCTTTGATGCTGAGCTGTTACCTCAATGCAGGTCTGCATGGCTGACCTAGTTGGAGAGGATTCCCACACCAGCTCCAAGTGGAGTTGGTGAGGAACCAATCTGAGTTTGGAAAGGCCGGACAACCCACGATCCTTTCCCATGCTGCAGGCTGCAGGGGGGTATTGCTGGAGGAGGCTGGTCAGCAGGCTCAGATCTTGTGCCAGGTGCCCCTGAGCGTCCCCTAAAGGTCCTTCCAGGCTTGTGTCCCCAGTGTAGTCAAGCACCAGCTCCAGGGAGTTTCTACGGTAACCTTAATGATTATTAAGGAATATTGTCAGTTTTATGAACATATGCTCAGACTGAGGTCTGCTTTGAAAAGGAAAGGACTGAAATAGCATGTAGCAAGCTGTTAATTAACAGAGACCTTCTTGGATAGAGATCACATCTGTTAAATAGAATACCTCAACTCTACACTGTTTTGTTTTGTTTTTCCCTTTGAAGACAAATAATACTTTTAAGGTTTTTATTACCCCACCAGTTACCTGAAAGCAAATACCAAAGGCCGATGTCTGTGTTGTCAGTATGTCTTTCAGCGCTGTTTTTTTGCCAGCCATTTTGCATTTTAAGTGAAAATTGTAAATGTTTGAAATAAATAACTTCTAAAAATATGCTTGAGTTATAATCTTTCTTTGGGCAGTTGAGTCATGTAGAGGAAAGTGAGGAGAAAGCAGTGAGGAAGAGGTGTACTCAAGTAGGACTACTCAAAAATGAAGGGCTTGCCTTAATGTAAAGATGAAAATACCTATGGGAAAAAATTAGATAAGTTCAACAAAGAGGTAGCAATTTCTCAAAGGGCTTTAGTTATGAAAATATTATCCTAAACTGGGTGCTGGGGATTTTGGAGGGCGTGTGTGTGTCTTCCATGTTTACCATCATGATAACCAGATGCTGGACATGGGGACAGAGAAGGAAGGGCCATTATTCATCAGAGAACTGTTTATTAGACCAGGGTGGGGGTGCTAATGACATCGAAAAGCCTTGATCATCAGATAGGCTGAGTCTGTCCCCTATGGAAAGAGTCTTAGGTAGGAAGATGTGGGACACGGTCAGCCCATCTTCTACACAGGAAAAACCTGGATGCTTTGTGAGTAGATTGCTGTGCAAATACTTCAAGGCTAGGGAAGGGGAAACACAGGAAAGTCGGAAATTATCTCAGACTGAACGTTAAGGTTGCTGCTTGGTCCCCCACCTGGACAGTCAGGAAAGCCAGGGGACCACCTGAAAGGACCGCAGCGCCTCCCTCAGGACACCATGTTCTCCCTTTGAGCTTGGTCCTTGAGTTGCAGACAGTGACACAGGAACCAGATGTCCCTGAGGTAGCTAGGCTCTGTGGTCAGTGGATGGAGGATGTGGGCCTGTGGAGCCAGGAAATGGAAGGAGCTGCTTGCCTTTCTCCAAGGCGTCACTGTCAGGGTGACATGGTAATATTTTTTTCCAGAAGAATCAGCAAGAGCAGATGGTGATTCTTGTGGAGGATGTCAAGGAACACTCAGTTACTGGAACTGTCTCATAGAAGGCATTTTCCTTATTTCCTGAAGGCAGAGGAAACCAATGTTTTTGGCAGATCTGTGAGAAACTCAGGTCAGAAGCCCAAAGCAGCAAGCTCCTGGGAAGAGTGTGGGCCAAGGTAGTGACAACACAAGACAAATACAATTTCTTCAGTAAAATAGTGAAATGCTTGCACTACAGGCTTATGTAGTAGTCAATTTAAGGGTGCTCCTTCTATCATAACTTCAAAATAATAAAGCTGTCCAAAGTTCTCAGAGGAAACAGCTTTATGGGAAGCATTTGGATAGTTTGTTAAAATTATTTAGAGAATAAAATTTATTTGGCCCAGTGTGGTGTTATATTCCTGAAATCTCAGCATTTGGGAGGCTGAGGCAGGAAGATTTTGTGTTCAAGGCCAGCCTAGGCTATATAATGAGACTCTGCCTTAAAACACCAAAAATAAGTAAGTAAGTAAATAAATAAATGAATGAATAATGCTTCAGTTTGGGATTTTTGTTTATTTTTGGGGGTGCTGGGGATTGAACTCAGGGCCTCAGGCATGCTAGGCAAGTGCTGTACCACTGAGTTGCACCCCTTGCCCTTCAGTGCTGAAGATACACTACTCTTGTGTGTGTGTGGGTGGGGGGCACGGCTTCCTGCCGAGCACAATGGTGTCACTGAAGTCAGCTGCTAGAGTTCCATGTCTGGCTTTACCCACAGGGGCTCCAGTTCAGCAGGTCTGATGTGGGCCCTGGAACATTAAACTCAGTCCCAAGGGGTTCTGATGGAGATAACAACGGACTCCGAGAGTGCTATGAACCACAGGTTTCCACGATGAGGTGGGTGCTGTAGGTGCCCTGTGCCTCAGGACTTAGGTACTTCAGGGGTGGCTTCCACGGGCAGGTCTGGGTATCACAGGAAGGCCAGGCTCCAGCCCAGCACCTTGGAATCCCAACAACAGACGTCTGACTACATGCGTGTGAGTTCCCAGGTATTCTCGCTGTGCAGCCAGCTTTGAAGACTGCTGTTGAACAGAGGGCTGCTGGTCCCTAAAGCAGCAGGCCACTGTCATTATCAATTATGAAACAAAATCTACAGGCAGTGAAGAAGTGCACCGCCACCAGCCCTGCTGGCACCTAGGAGTCCATGGCCCCTTTCTGGTAGAGGTGTTCTATTAACATTAGCTAATAAGAGCTGGAGGTGTAGCTCAGAGGTGTGCAAGGCCTTTGGGTTCTATCCCTAGCACCACAAAATAAATAAATAAAATTCACTAATAATGGCTACCATCCACCAACCCCGCACTGTGGGTTTACAACCAGGACACTCTTCCTCCACCTAAGGAAAGTGCAAGGTAAGCACTTTCACCTGCTTACAGACAAGGTAGCTAAGGCTCACACAGGTGAAGAGGGTCCAGGATGTCCAGGAGTTAAGAAGCTAAGCTGCACTCCACACTGGGTCTGCCCAGCCCCAACTGGTGCTCCTTGCCTTGTCATGGCACTCAGCCCTCCCATGATAGCATGGTAGCCATCTCACTGGCCTCTCTTTTCCACACCAGTTCCTCTCACCCTGCAGGGCCTGCCCTCTCACCCCCAGGGAAGAAGGACTGGGGCTCTTCATTCAGTTTGTCATGCTTATTGTGTGAGCAGGGTCTGGAAGCCAGAGCCCAGCTAAGGTCATAAACAAAGGCATGGATGGTCCAGGGGCTGTCACGGGTGACCCTAAGACCACCAGACCACAAAGAAGATGGGTCACAAAAAGGAGGGGTGCCAACAAATTCCTTAAACTTTATTTTGGTGGTACTGGAGTTTGGACGTAGGGCCTCACGCTTGCTAGGCAGGTGCTCTACCACTTGAGCCATTTCACCAGCCCTGTTTTTGTGTTGGGTATTTTCAAGATAGAGTCTCCAAACTATTTGCCTGGGCTGATTTTGATCCGGGATCCTCCTTATCTCTACCTCCTGAGTAGCTAGGATAACAGGCATGAACCATGGGTACCTGGCTCCAATTCTTAAATTTATTGCTTTTCAAGCAGGGACCAAATCAAATCACCTCCCTTCCACCTACACCTAATCACACCTCTGGGCTGTGCAGGAATGACTTGGTTTTCTGTTGCTGCTTCCTTTGTGTAAACTTTAAAGAACCTTCCTCAAAATCATCAAATTATGCTCACTGATCAGATGCCCACTGTCAAGGGGGTGCTGCAGAAAGTCAAGAAGCCAAAGAGGTTGACCTGGAAGTTTGATTTGGACCTTACTCAGCCAGTAGAAGATGAAATTTGGGAAAATTTGAACAATTTCTGTGAGAAAAGGTAAAAGTCAGTGGAAAAACTAGAAATCGTATTCACATTGAATGCTTTAAGAATAAAATCCCAGTTGTTCTGAGGAACAATTTTCTAAAAGGTGTTTGAAATATCTTACCAGGAAATTCTCTAAGAAGAGTAGTCTTCGTGATGGGCTTGTGTGGCTGCTTCTGACAAGGCGACTTAGGACTGTGTAACTTCCAAATCAGTCAAGGGCTTTGCTTTTTAATAAGAGAGAAAGAAACATCTAGACATATACTTTTAGTTTATCAGTGAGTAAATATCATTGCACTCTTTAAAAAATTCTTAAATTGTGCTTTATTGATGGGGTGGAAACCTTATTACTTCTACTTCCTCTGAGAGGATGACTGGCTGCCACACTGAGCGGCGCCTCCCCTGCAAGGAACGATCCATGCCAGGAACATCTCCTGGACACTGTGTTGAATGTGTGGTCAAGAGGGGCAG